GATCAAGAAGCAGTAAATCTTTAGTTACTTTACTTATTATATCTACTTATGCATAATTACTTATTATTTAATAATAAGGTATTTAAATTTCAATATTAATATATTTTTCATAAAACTATTGTTACACAATGTACTATTACTTTAATAAATGTTTAAAATCATAAAATAAATGTACAAACACAGTATCTAAAAGTTTTATCTTAATTAACAGAAAATTACTTTTGTGGGGGTCGATGGAGATTTCGAAAAATTATATAGGGGTCGATGATCAAAAAAGTTTGGCGACCCCTGATCTACAACAATTATCATTCTGATGAGCAGCATATTTACACAGATGGTTAGCTTTCTGACTTTTTGCTGAAGGTTGCTTTTCGAAGGCTTCGTCGTCATATGAAATGCTTTTTGCGAATAATATGCTATTTTCATAATTGGCTGTGAGTTTACAACAGTTAGTTACTCGTGACAGTTAGGATAAGTTTAGTCTATCTAAAGCTAGCGTTATCGATGCTTATCTAAAAATGGCGCAAAACGTCATTATGGAGAAAAGCCACAATTTTCTGGAAATGAAGAGTTCGCGGTTTTATTTTCGATACATTATAACTTATTCCAATGCGGCATTATTTGAACTCATGAAAATTTGCCAAAACTGAGATTAAAGCAGTGATTTTGATAATTTTCCTTTAAGTGGAAAAATGTCACCAAATTGGCGATTTTTGAAAAACGTTATTTTTTAAAATATTTAAGTTATTTGTCAGTTCCTTGGCCACAAGGTCAGTTCTAAAGCCCAGCTTTTAACATAAAGATGGTACATATAGTATAAAATAATCGTTTTGCTTCAAGTGTAAGACATTTAAATTCTGGGTTTTTATTTTCCTTGGCGACAGAGCTTCGAAAAACCATATTAACATTGTTTTCTAATTTAGAGTAGGCAATTTCAAGACTCAAGCAGTAATAAACACCCCAAAAGATAAATTTAAATTCAAAATGTCAAGCATTTTTTTTGTAAACTTTGACCTAACAGCATTATTTGAAATAACAGATGCATATAACCTATAACCTAATCGATAACCTATGCATATCTCTATCTCTCTCTACATCTCTATACATAATAAATGTATATTATATACACACAATTTATTTACGTGCATGTATACACGTATTCAGCACGAATTTAACTATATTTTGCAATAAATTACACTAACTGCTATAATAGCATACCTTTTACTAAATATTAATAAGTCATAAAACATACATGCTTTTTACAATTTTAAACAAATTACATTTACGACATAATTTAACAGCTCAGCCTTAAAGTAGTTTCGTTTTCTTCAATTCAATATCCCAAGAAACAATGTTTGAAGTAAGCCCCTTGAATGCAGTCAAAGCGATAACAGAAAAGCCAAATTTCATTATTTTTATTTAAGAAAAGTGAGCATTAATTTTGTTTAATAGTGTAAATACCCTAAAACCGGTTCCACTTATATTGAGAACGGTCAACCCCATACTTTGCTAAAAGTGGATTCATTTCAAGATCAGTGGATACATTTGTGTATCACAAAAAAAATATTTAATATATAGCGCGATTTTCCAATTTAAATAAATTTCTTATTTTTCTATTTCTCAATATTTTCTCTGGATTGTGTGTAATACTCACATGCATTAGAATAAGTATTCGCTATAAATTGAATGGCAGTAAGTCCGAAGAAAAAGCACGATGTACCAAATAAACTTTTAGCATATATGCTGTAAAATATAAATACTAAATGTAACGGATTATTAACATTTCTTGAAGACTTAATTTAAGAAGTAGTTTAATTTTTGAATTTGGTGTACCGTTCGAATGCATATGGGGTCGTTCAAATATTACGAAAGCATCAACCGGAGGAGATTTGGTATTTTATTATTAGGGATTTCATAATTAGGTCGAAAATTCAACATTATGAAGGTTATTATTGTAGATTTTAATACACTTATGAGGTTTTTGATTGTGATAAAAGTTTTTAAATAATTGGATGATTAGTGGTAATTTTAAAGTCCTTTTTCCTTCAACATGTCGCTATTTTTTTTAAAGTAATGTTAAAAAAATATCCGTTCAATGAAAACTACAATAGAGAGCCTTTTAAAATTTTGTGTAAAATAGATTTAAAATTTGTAGAAGTATTGCACCCTTAAATTGCCAATTGGAATTAGTATACCAGAATTTCATTCAATATCTATTATAAATGAAGATCATAGTTCCTCTTTTTCAAATTAAATTCTTGTTCCTAAAATTATCGAAAAAAATTAATTAACAGAGTAGGGGTAGGGAGTTTTTAACAAAATTGAGCAAGTTTTCCAATAGCAATCCCAAGGGAAGCAAGAAATTAAAATTCGCAATTTCACATCTCTTCCCAAATGCAAGAAATGCCACAAAAATGTTAGAATATCTTCATTTGTCCCCTTTTACTTAAAAATATTTTATAAAATTTAATGTTGAAATGTAAATATCTATTTATATATCCATTATATTTATGTATCAATTAGAGCTTCAGAATAGTGGAATGTATGAGATAGAAATGACATTGAAATACATGTTTTTCTAGAATTCATTTGTAATTGTGATTCATATTAGTGTAGTTATCAATACATATTATTCTAGAATTTATCTGAGCACAAATTGGACACCCCTCTGAGGATGTGTTTAAAGTCAGATGCCCCCCACCCTAACTACATGTTAGTTCATTTATTAAAGTAGAAAGGGCATGAACACAAATAATCGAGGTATTAAAATTTTTTAAACAGTAGGTATTATATCTAGACTATTTTTAAAGAAAATTCAACTAAAGATAAGACAAAATTCACAAAAAGCATTCTATCATTAAGGTTTAATACAAAGAATGTAATTTAACAGGAGAATTATGTTACTATTTGCTACCCAAACCAATGCCTCTAAAATGAGTCAAATTAACTAGCATTATATATATTTCCAGATAATTAAAAAAAATTCTAAATTTACCATTCCAAAAATAATTAATTTTATGTTATGCATAAATCCATAGGCTTCATTCAATGTAAATGCACCATACAGTATACAGCTAGTAATCCAATACAATAGCATTTTGATAAAAAAAAACTTTGTTAGCTAGATATGTATATTTATATAAGAAATAAATTAGCAATACTTTGAAGATGCCAACAGCGCTATGGATAGCGAAGAAAGTTTATCCTACACTAAACAGAAATTTTAAGCTGAATAGGGTATCTGTGCATCAGAAGTATTGTAGAAGGTGCAAAGTATTGCATTCACATATTAATTTAAAATGAATAAAAAATGTGCTGATGTCATGACAATGCTTCTAATTTTTGACAATTAGATACATAGTCCTGATGATAATAATGCAAATTTAATTTTTAAACTCAATTTTTAAATTTTGTATTTAATTTTTGACAATATCAATTATTATGTAATTCTTATTTTGACAGAACATTTGAAAATGAAACGGAAGTTCCTATAGTAGTTACATGTAAAAGTATCAATGTATTTTTAAGTAAATAAAACTCTATAAGTAATTCACTATTAGACAGTGTATAAGAAGTGGCTGGCAATGGCAATGAGGACATTTTTTAACTGTTTCTAAAATGTGTATATAATTGTTCATTTGTTTGTTTATCCTAAGAATAAAACCATAATATGAGAAGAACAAATTTCCATCAGTTATTGAAATATTTTATTTAATTTTTTGTATAAAACACAGTTTACATTAGAAAGGCAAACAGTGACAATTTGTTTCAACTAAAACCACATATCACAGTTGAGAAATCAGTTTCTAAGAAAGAGTTGAACAACTAAAATACTTTAGTAATATTACTTAGACGTGACAAAAAAAGGAGAGATGACTTGTAATAGTGATTAACATAATTCTAACTTACTTTTCGAAATATTAATGCATTTCCAGTAGAGTCTAAACAAAAAAAAAAGAAAACGTTTCAATGCCACAGACACACGTCTTAAACAAGGGCATGTTTAGTTTTACTTGTAATCTTGTTCATATAAAGAAAAAAACCTAATTTAACAGCTATACCTTTCAATGCTATTTTAAACAACAAATTCTAAAGCCTTACTAAAGCCTAACTTAACAGTTTTATGTCCAAGAAGTAAAAATTGGAATTTTAGTTTCAATAAAACCATAGTTGCAAGAAAAGAGCATAATATACACATTAATTTATCAGCTCTTTAGTCAAAAGATTTTAAAATTATGCAGCGATTGTTTTTAATTTTTATTTGAAATAAAAGTATAAATTTTTTATTAATTACTCCATAAGGAGGAAAAAAAACTTAAATACTGGAGATATAAAAAAATATATAAAAATTATTAAAATGTTTAAAAAGAAAAATTGTCATTTAAAAAGCTATGTAAATGATTAGAAAACTAAGAAATGTATTTTTCTTGATGTAATCTTCAATGAGATTATTAGCCTTCATTTCTGGCTCTGCCACTCAATCGCTTTGTATCCAAGTTGCACAGCAACTTTCCAATTTATTAAGCACATCATTACTTTATTTAGTAAATCTCACACATTCGATAATTCTCAAAGATTATTTTCAGAGTTTAACTGAACATCTTCCTTAGGAAACATGCACATTTCCTCTGACTGGCCCTTCTCGCAACTTCCCAAGTTTCCAAATTCAACATTTTGTGGAAACCGACTCTTTACAATGCTAAGACTTTTCTTGTAAGAAATTCTATTTTCTTCTAAAGCAGGACCCCAATCATAAGTTGGTTGTAAGCAGGATATCACTCTCTGAAAGAAAAAGACAGAGTGGTTAACAACTATTTTTCCCTAAATAAATGGCAGATTTTTCTATCAAACTATAACAAAAAATATTCTGATGATTTCCAATAACAAAATATTTCTTTAATGGTTCTTTAATTTCAAAAGTTACAGAAACTGCTAAAAAAAAGCAGTAATGTAGGTGTTACATCTATGATATAGCAAGTGGTGCACATGATTTATTTTAAAATCAAATTAGTTTAGTACCTCCCCCATTCTCATGCATTATATGGGGGAAATTGCTCGCTTTAATTTAGAGTTGCAAATGTTTGGTATCATCCCTTAATTTTTGCCCACGAGTTTCAAAGCACTCTGCATAAAGCATTTTTGCTTATTCAATAGCCACAATGAGAATTTTTCATTTTTTTCTTATTTATATTTGGTAGATAGTTTTATTGAAAGCATGAATAAGAGCAATTACTTATATTCACTATCTTTATTTTATCAAAAATAATTTTTTAAAATTTTCAGCATTTTGTAATACCAAAGAAGCTTATGAACACTGTATCCCTTTTAGCTATCCTATTGCACTGATTTAACACCCAGCAAACATTTATATAGGACATGTTAGAGTGTTTCAAAGAAAATCTGAGATAAGTGCTTAAAATAATTCAACTCTTTGTTGGAGATCACACAATATTAAACAAAGTAAACTCTTTCTATGAAACACATAGATAGGTCAATCATTGTGGGGTAGTGTATTTACAAGCAATCATATTATAGGTTATTGAACACATAAAAAAGTTTTCCCCTTCCTTGAAGAACAAACTCTTAAGTATTCAGGCAATTTGATTTTCGTAATTTGATTATTATAAGAGAAGAATGGTTGACTAGAAAAAATTTACACTAAAAACAAAAATTTTCGTGCAAGTTTGTGAGTGTAGTGAACCTCTATTATTCTTCATCAGGCTTTATTTAATAAAATGGGATGTCTTCATCACATAAATGCAATAGTTTCTAGTAAATATAACTTCTGATTAAAGGAAATAATGAATTTATTACAGTGTTTTTTAATATTACTTACTTGTTTAAAAGTTCCTTTTGCCTTTAATACTTGTACAACTGCAATAACTGGAATAGGAAGGATAGAGCACAATGCAATCATCCATCCTAAAGCAATTGACCATCCTGGATACTCATAGGTACCATAAGTAACTGGTTTATGATTTATGACAATGAACAATAGAAGACAAATAATAGTTCCAGGTGTTATATAACACCAGCATAATTTAAACCAAGTAGGTGGAGGTCTTTTAATCATTAAGGAAATGTCTTGCATAAATCGATCCACACCTAGAATCAAGATTATATATATAAACTTATACAATTAGCAATGATGTGTTTATATACTAGATAATTCAATTTTAATAAAAAGGGAAGGAAATTCGAAGTCACAATTGTAAGTAAACATTTTAAATTTATTATTATACCTTTAATTAATTATTTAATAAGCAGTTCTTGTTATTAATTTTATTTGATGGTTTTACTGGTTAGATAAACTATTTTAGGTGGATTTAGTACCCCAAAACTTTAAAGTTTATTAACACATAACAATTATGCTATACTTAAAAAGCTCTTATCATGCTTAGAAATAAATTTTATGTTTATATTTATATTTAAGCTGGTTAAGACAACAAAGAGTAATTTTTTATAAAAATATATCAATTGGATCATTGAAGTTCGAACCCAGTTCAGTTGTATTTAATTATAAAAAGCAGAACAGTAATTTAAATAAATAAACTTTAAAGAATCTGGCAATTAAAAAAATTTTTTTGTTGCAAAAACTAACTATTTCATTCAACTAACAGCTATTTTCCTGACCATAGTTTATTTAAAGGAGGAAAAAACAAGAGTTTTTTTTAAAACTCATTTAAAAGCGAAGCATAATCAGGTTTGATGCTGAGAAAATAAGATGGCTTTAGACAAATCATTTTAAAGTTTTTTTTAAATATAAAATGTGTAATTTTTGTAAATTTGAGTAGATTTAAATTTTTTACAAACTTTTTGACTGGTTATAAAGATCACTGGTGTTTAAACTAGCTGAAACCAAATTCAAACATATCTCTTTACTATTAGTTTCCCTCAGATCATAATATACTATTCCAAAATAAATGAGCAAAACTTCAGTACTTGTATAGGTATCAAATATTGATATTCTACTATTAAGTGTAGCTAATTTTAAGTACAATGAGTATTTTTAAGAGAAAAAACATTAACTTGATTTCAGTTGGAAGAATAAAAAGTATTACTATTTACAAGTTTATTTTTACATTATGCAACAGTATAAACATAATAATCTGTTTAAACTTATGCAAAGTGTTTCTTAATGAATATTTAATTAATAAAAACATTTATGAATATTTGAAAAGTTCTTTAAAAAATGGAATAAAATAACTATGCACATTAGGGGTCAAAATTTAATAGTAAGTGAAAAATAATAGAAATAATAAATAATTTCAAACTGTGATCATTCACTATCGAGGTCAAGAGCAAATTAGGTACATAAATAATCAAAAACTATTTTATTTGAAATTGAAGCTACAGTTCTTCACTTGATAAATTGGTCTTAGATGAGAACTTATATAACTATTTCAAACATTAATAATAATTGATCTATGTTTGAATATTTTTTTCTTTGTATTTTATTAAAATACAAATTAGGAAATTCTAATGTGCATGGTTTACTTCATGTTTTGTAAGGATTCTAAAATTATAAATCACCCTGCTTATTTGCATTTTCCAGTTTTAATTTATTTTTCATGTGATAAGCAACTGATTCATTTCATATTACTTTCAATTGCTAGAGCCTCCTATTCTCTTAATCTTACGATCTGTTTGAACTGAATATTTGAATAATTTTTTAAAGCTATTATAAAGGTTTTGTAAGTGAAGTATGCTAAGAATTCAAGCTTTAATGTTAAAGAATAGGATACTCTTAACCAATAGTTTAAATTCTTAAGTTTAACTTTTCTGAAATATTTTATTCATAAATTATAAAAAATTTTCCCTTTATTATTTTGTTCCTTTTAAGCCTTAAAGTGGGGCTGCATTTCTTCGAACGAAAAATCTATTCTGTCATGTCAGTTTATCAGTAGAAGAAACTGAGAAGAATCAGGAAAAAAAGAGGATATAATGTAGAATAAAAAATCTGTACAAAAGTAATAATATCCGCAATTTGAATGGTTTTAACTGAATTTTAAAATAAATTTTACTTTATAAAACTTGATTAAAAAAATGTTTTACATTTAATTTTATATTTTTCTGATATAATTTACTTTTGGTTTAGATTACATATCGAACTAATTTTGACACCACAAATTTTTTGTTCTTGAATGTTTTTTTAATATTTCCTCAATATTAGTTCTAAACTTTGTTTAAAGTATAACTTGTCCCCCTATCACTTAAAATAGATATATTATAGAAATAATCTATCAATTCATTAATTTTTTTTCAGTTTATGTGGATGAATTAGAAATAGATGATTTGAGACACATATTAGGGGAAAAAAATTTTCATTTCTTCTAAAAATTTTTTCAATACAATGCAAAAATCAGAGATACTGCATTTTTTCTCCATTGTTAGCTAATTAAACAAACAATTTTAAATTATAAAAAAAAAAATATTAATTGTTGAAAGTGGTATTTTAAAAGTATAAAACTATAAAATTTTTTAGTTTCTTTTAAAATACAAAAGTATATTTTTAATACTTAATTTCTTTGACAAGCTGTAAGCTGATTCCTGTAACATTAAAATCAGATTAAAAAAATTGCAGTTTTTAATTGTTTTACTCATTATGAAGTTCGGAATAGGGTGATTATTTTTATCAATATTGATTTTCTCTTAAAAGACAATATCAAACAAAGATGTGGACAAGCAATCAAAGAATAGTAAGTAATGAGGATGATCGGATATTAGTTGCAAAAAGAGTTTCAGTTTTTCTTATTCATCTCACTACCATATTATAATAAAATGTTGCACTGATAAATTGCCTTCTAGAACAAAAATAAATTCTATTTATTTCTCATTGGTCAAGGATGAATCGCTGAATTGCTGACTTCAGAACAAAATTTTACATTTAATCATTGTGCATTTACTTTGAAAAAAAAAATCAAGACTTAAAACTTTTTACTGACTGCAAACATTCTAAGAAAAGGACAGAAGTTAACAGTCATACCAAAATGGAAATGAAACTGTGCTAGTCTAATTTGAGTTTACGAACATGTTTTGATGAGAAAAAGGATATATGAATCACATAGTTTTTAAAATAGATTAAAAAAGATTTTAAATTTCTTTTTTGCTTTCATAATTTTATAAAAAAATAAATAAACTTAATAAAAGCCGACTGACTTAGTGCCAGCCACAACACACCACTGAACCTATTAAAAATTGGAATAATCTATTTTTCAACATGACCAATACCAAGATGTAGATTAATATGAAAGTAAATTAGTAATAATAATTCGTATTTATACCATAAATCCATGAAATGCATATTAATTCCAACAATGATATTATCATGAGAGAAAACGCAGCACTATACCAATCCATTAATTGAAGGACATACATTCCACCCTAAAAGAAAAATGTTGTTACAAATAATTATATTTTCAAAACTATAAATATAAATAACTCAAAAAATTTTAAGAAGTGACTCAGATTTTGCATATAAATCATATGCTTTATGATATTTTATAAAATTACATATTAAATAAAAACAAAATAGTAAAGTTTTTAGTTATAATCCTCAACATAAGTATATGGAAAATGGTTAAATTGGAATAAATGTAAAATTTGAAAGCACAAGAGGAAAGAACTGCTAACAATTCTCAACTCAAACATCATTATACATTCAAGGCAATTAAATCTAATGATGCTGTAAATTTAATCTAAACACAAGAGCTGAAGAGGGAAAAGGAGCATTAAAAATCTTAAAAATGAGAAATATAGAGTAATGCAAAGATGTGTTCTAATACTAGGATAGCAGGACCATAAGAATTAATGCTTGCTATTTATAAAGGATGGAGTAGACAGCCTGATCTACAGAATGTGTAACCAACAAGTAAGTCTTGAGTGGTCTTGGAAAAGATATTACAGCTCATGACTTCTCTCCTAGCAGAGAAAAACTTCCTGGGCTAAAAGCTGATTTGTTCTAAAACATTTGCCAAATTCATAAACACAATTAGAATTTAATGAGAGATCTGCAATGCCCTCAGATGGATTTAAACCAAACAATATAACCTAGATCCGTCGTTTCTGTATTTTTCATATTTTATTTTAATGGTCCTATCCTTAAATGCTATTCTTTTAATGTTAATATCAGTTTAATATCATAATGTTAATAATTTTTGAAACTATCAGATTCCTGCAACTATTGTTCCAAAATTCTACAGGCATCGAAATTTCTTTAATTATTCCATGTAGAAAAGAATAACGGTTACACCGATATAATGATAATGGTGAAGAAAAAGTTAAGATTTTTTAAAATTATGGGAAAACGTCTCAAGCATCATGTTTTATGTTTAAGCATCAGTTGATGGAAATGTTAAAATTTGTCATGCTGTTGGTTAAAAAAATGCTTGCAAAAGCTAAAGAAGTGCAAAATGATTCCAATGAATACAAAAAAAAGGAATTTCAACCAGAGCAAACATTGGAAGGCCTCAAAGTTTTTGAAATGACAAGGAACTTTCTGTAATCACACCAATTTATAATTAATGTCCAAAGATACAATATTTTGAATTAATAAATGCTAATTCATCTTTCATTTGCATTGAAAATATTTTTGCATTAAGTACATAATTTTTTCAGTTAAACGTTTTTGATACTTGTTGTAAATTTATTACCAAATTTTTAAATCCATTACTTCTTTATTACTTTAATGCATTTTCAAACTAATTGATATTTTATGTTGACCTGCATTGATCATTTTTTAAAATCTATCCTTTGCAATGAATGGTTTTAAGAGGAACGATCCATCAAGGGTCTACTGTATTAAAACTTTTACAAGTTCCATTTTGCTACATCATTTTGGACTATCTTGCTGTGATACCAATTAACTCATGATCTTTAGCTCATGCCATGAACTTTTTAATCATTGTTTTTGACTTTGATGTATTTTCATGTAAAATTTTACTGGATTTGGTTCACCAATTTTTTAAGTTGTTCACAAAAATTTGTATCAGAACTTCTGCACATGAAACTAAAAATACAATTGAAGAATATTATCTCATATGATTATGTTGTTCATATTATCTCTTTCACTGTAAAACTATCTCTTGCAATGGATCTACAATTCAGTCAAAAATGTCCTGTATGGTTATCTTAAACATCACTTAAGATGAATCATTGACACATTTTTATTGAAAACATCCTTTACAAAATGACGTCCATAATTTTTCATGTTCTACACGTAAATAACTTTTTTCTTCTCTGGTTAAATCATTTATTAATTATTTTGCTCTATTCTAATATTAAGTTTAAAATTTGCTTTATAAATATGTTGGTTTAAAAAATTAGAAAATAAAACCTCAGAAAGCAAAACCTTCAATAACTTATGATGAACATTACCATTTTAGACCATTACATGTTTCCAGTAATTTAACACGTTAAATTTTTTATCATGCTCCTCGAACATGCAACTACAAATGCAAATTTGCACGTCAATGTCAGTTATACTATCAGGGCTACTATTATGCCATCATCTGCACGTAACTGCTAATTGTTTCATTAAATTTTGCAAAAAACTATTTTAAATGTTTTATGAAGTATTCTTACCTATTTGAAACTCTTATGATATTGTTTATTATTTTTTAAAATAAATAAAAATGTGTCATAAAATAGATAAAAAAATATTTTGAAAACATAATAAAGTCACCATTTAATCTTTTGCTTAATAATAAACAACTTTACCTGTGTAACACATGGCAAACCCAGCAGAAACATCACAAAACATAATGCAGCAGTAAAGAGGGCCTTCCGTTTTTGCAGAATAGGAAATTTATCCACAAATGCACTAACCATAGTTTCAAACATTCCAAACTGGAAAGATAATAGCATTGTATGTATTTTCATTTAAACAAATAATGGCTAAGACTACTAAGAAGATTTGAAACATGTCATATGCTGTGGTCCGCAGGCTAAAGCATTATTAAAATTTTATGTTAAAGCAATCTAGAGTTAAAAACGCTATAAAGTTTGCAATTAGAAAATTGAAAGCTACTATCAGCAAAAAGTAAATGGGTTTAAAATTTGTATCAAATGACTGCGAGAAGCTAAAAATTAATGCTGACCACAGATATGACTAACATGCAAGCACACATCAAGCCACAAGAACTATGAACGATATTGATTACTGAATTAATATCATTAAGTAAAAATACAAATAGTAATATGATAAAATGACTCATATTTAATATCAAAATAATTGAGTATTAAATGCATGAGTTCTATTTACTTAATTTAGACATTCAGTAATCATTTGCAGTTTTCTTGTTTATTTGATGATGCAAAAATTAACAGAATGCTCAGTGGTCAGTTAAAATATGATTGTTAAAAATTATACTTTGTTGCAAGCAGCAAATAAAAAAACTGTTGCTGTATATTCTTTCTTTATAAATAATGTATCTTAAGTATTTTCCAAAATAATAAATCACAAAAAAGTCATTAGCTCCAATTTGAGTTACAAGTTGAAAAGTTAAAAAACTAAATAAAATTTCAAAAATCCTTTTAACGTTGACGCTTAGGAGAAGAGTCTGTTGCTTCCCTCAGCAAAAGACCAGTTATCTATTTGGTTAAGAAGCGATGCTCATTTATAGGAAACAAGTAAAGAATCAAGGCTTAGGAGAAATAAATTTTTTTAAACAAAAATTGTCCAAAGAGCAGAAAATTTAAGTCTCAAAAAAAAAAAAAAAAAAAAAAAAAATTTAAAATTTTCTAACTATTAAGCTGTACAAGGTCAAAAAACAGCTGTGATTTATATTGTATAGAACTTGATATGTTACAAATTTTATGTTAAAGCCTTATTCTTTATTATTAAGCTAACTTTAAAACAGGTAATTTTGGCTAAACTTTTTGTGAGTATTCAAAGAGTAATTGTTATTGAAACAACAAAAAATGAAAACCTTGTTTATTTTACAAGAAACATAAAATTACTTTAAATACAACAAACAAGGTTTTTAAAAGAACTAAAAAGAGAATTGAAGTCACAAAAACTTAATTTTAGTTTTTTTGTTGATATTTGTTGGAATAAAAACAATAAATGAATACAAATTTGTACTTGGTGTTTATGAAAAATTTAATAAAATAAAGTTTTAAGAATTAAAATAGTGTTATGTATAATTTGAAATAAATTAAACAAATCAACTGACCACTCTTAAAAGTAAGCAATTCATGTACATAATAGCTTATACAAAAATAAAAAAAAAGTGATAAATAGTGCACAAAAAGTTACACTGTCACAATGATGTGATGACTTGCAGTTCATGATGACGTCCCCTCCAAAAGGCGCACAGAAACCTAATACTATTATTATAAAAATACACATATAAAGGCATTTAAAGAATCACCTAATGCACACTAATTTGTGCTGCTATACAATTAAATGTTTTCCACCAAAGTAATGCAGCAAATAAAACTATTTTCCTAATAACTTAATGACACTAATCAACAAAAGATAGAAGCTTCCAAATCTATGTTTCAGAAATTAAGAATTTATAGCTTCTGAAAAATCAAAAATTGGTAATTTTTTTTAGTTTATATTATCTATTGTAATGAGGAAAGGCAAAAATGTATGAAACTTTAATAATATTAACTGAGTATTTCAATAAAGTGTCCATTTGTACTAATATTTCAGATGAACAAATTTATTGCTTACAAAATAGTTTTTTTTGACAAATGTGTTGATTAATTACATGTATTACATGCAAGGTATTTATCATTAAAATGAAGTAGAACATTTTAAAAGCTAAATTGGGAGGTTGGTTTAGATTGAGAAAGGAATCCACGAAAATAACCCTTAAAAGCCGAAATATAAATCAGTAATGATATATTATTATAATAATTTGTACTTAAAAATAACATAATAAAGTGAAATATTTCAGTTATTTCAGAAGAATGTTGTCTTTGATGTCAGAATCTGAGTGTTAAAATACATAATTCAAAAAATAAAATTTTTTGTTGTTTGCCTTAAAAAAACTCTGAACAAAAAGTAAGTCTTCTTCATGTCCTTTTCCATTATTTGAGGTTTAAACACAAACATTTCCCCCAGTGGTAGCAAACAAAAGCAAAAATTTTTACAAAAAATTTAATTTGTATAGATGTTTTTCATAACTTAACTTAATCAACACTATTCAATCCTTAACTCACTGACTCAAGTTATCTGGGCGTATTGGGGGACAAAGTACTTTAAACTCTAATAATTATAAATTATAACACATTATTTTAGCTACCACCTTGAACAATAATTTTTTAAACTATGGCAATTCAATAGTTGTTGGAGGGTATTTTTCTTGATATACAAATCTTACTCACTACCAAACATGCAGTTATTTTTCACTTCTACTTTCATACAAGTTTTAAATTAAGCAAAACTTTTACTCTCAGTCAAATAATTTAAAAGTTCTTTTCTGAGTTTCAATTAAAAACAATATACAGTACCATGATTAAGAAAATTTTGAAAAAGAAAAATTAAAACAACAATTAAATATATTTCCAATTGTTTAAAATTCTCAAACATTAAAATTAGTATTAAAAAAACGTAACAGTAGAAAAACAGTTGCATTTTTATTTTGAAATTCCTATACCTTAGACAGTTTCCCTATCTTCTATGCGAAACTTCTTTAGAACAGAACACTAATTTAGTGGTTTTGGGGAAGTGGCTAGTTTTTTTGTAACTGATATAATACATTAAATGTTAGAAAAACTTAATTTATAATTAATAACCTTAAAGAAATAACTGAAAAATTTAAATTTATATTTTCACTTTTTGTCATTTAAAAAATTCTTTTTATAAAATATTAAAACACATTCTTGCCAACTTATCCACATTACAATATTTTGAATTGTGATAAATAATAACTGTACGAATTTATAACTATATAAATTTGTAATTTTAAAATAAAAGTTAAGCAAAATTAGAATTTTACATGCTGCATATATAATACATAAATAAAACAAAAATAACAGATACTATTATTTTCATAATACAAAAAATAAAACCATGATATTGAAATAAAAAATTTTATTATTTGTCCTCCAGTAATGAAAGCTAAATTTCAAGAATTAATAATAATTGCGATAAATCCTCTAAAACTATAATAGTTCTAGTATCTTGCTCAGGCTGTTTTTAACAGTTTTAAATGCTCAATATAAATATATGTTTAATAGAGAATTTTTTATATTCATGACATAAATAAGTTTTTATTTTTAATGTTTATACATATTCCTTAACATTATCAAGCTAATAAATTAAATACAGAAAAGTTATGAAATGAAATACTTAATGACATGCAATGAAGTTGCAGAGTAACAAAAAAAAATATGCTTAAATTTTTTGATATTTAGTTTTGAAAATATTTATGAAATAATTTTAAATTTTCTATCTGCCATAGCTACCAATAACTTTTTTTTGACGAAAAATGTAGTGAATTTTTTATGTGTTTGCAAATGTTTCTGTTAGAGGACAAATAAAATATTATACGAAGATAAATAGGTATTATAATTTTAAATTAAAATGTTATTGTATTTTAAACATGTTAACTTTTCATTTCAAAATATTAACAATAAATAAATCATGCATGTTGAAAAAAAAAGTTTAAATAAGTGAAAAAGTGAGCATAAATTATTTTATCAGCATAAAAATATCTTAAAATGAATATACTTTATTATAAATAAAACAAAACTTGAGACATCTTTACTGACTTTTACTAAAGACCTGTTTAAAAACTATCACAAAATCTCTGATAAAATAGCAATCAAATAAATTTTCTATCTAAAACTTTAAATTAAAAAGAAATAAATTAAATTTTGCAAACTTAATAAAATCAAGGTAAATGTGCAAATTAATGGCGGAAAGATAGATTTTTATTCACTAACAAATGTTTTATGTTGATATTAGTAGCAATCAAATGCCCTACATAATTTAACTGGCCAATTTAATTTAAGAAATATTATCAAGTAACTGACTTTTAGGTAAAGACAAAAAAAAATTCTCTCTTAGAAGTCTTATTTTATTAGGTAATAAGATTGGTTATAAAAATAAAACTTATTTCATATAAATCTTTTACTATTGTCTGATAGCTTAAAATAAACAAACAAAATATAAATAATAAGCTAAAAGCAAATAATAAAAACATCACATAAAGTAACATAAAAAAAAAATTACTTCTTGTAGATATTGCTTATATGTTTCAATTAAGTTAGAGTTTAACACTTACGTTTCAAGTACAACATTAGTTTACTATAAAACACTAATTTATATTTTTTTTCTAATTCAGCAAAAACATTTGTTTATATTAGCAATATTTAAAATTTTTAATTAAGATAGAAAATAAATAGAAATCAAAATTTAAATGCTTTGAAAAAGAATAAAAACCATGGGAATAGAAAAGAACAATGTAGTTGTTATCAAAGCCAAAACTAAACTAGATTTTTACATGCTAACAAATATCATTACGGCCAGACAAGCCTGTTTAAATACATCAGGAACACTATGTCAAAAGTAATGTCTGGTAATGAGAGTATTCAACTTAACTGATGAATATAAAATTTAAAAAGAAAAAAATTTATAGAAATTATTTCCCTTATGAAAATTCAAACTACTTATAATTGATTTTATGATACCTTTTAAATATAGGGTATTTCATGAAGAATACAGATTTTTAAGGAGTAATAAATTAGCCAAAATTGAAGTAAAATTTAAAATGCATTTAATTTGATTCAACATATACTTTGAATTAATAATATTAAAATGTTATCAAGCCTGTATTATGATAACAGGAAAACTCAATCACAAGAAGCTCATTCCCATATCGTGACACATCAATATCATATTTTGGACCATCTGAACATAATGATATTAAATGAGCAATTTTTGTAACAAAGGCAAGATCACACCCACAGATTCAACAAAGTTTAGAAGCAATGTCTGTGTTGTATTCCTTATTTTTAAAAAAGAAATTTAGTAATAAGAACAGGCTCATAATTGAATTAATCCATGACAACAAAAGAGGTTGAAATGTAGACTTAAAGCAGCTTTACCTAGCCAAACAAAACAGTTATGTACGTAGAGCAAATAAGTAAAACATTTTGCTACAAACTGAGTCTGATGCAAAAATAAAATATGAGATCACTAGGGTTCCCTAAGGTAGTGAAATTTTGCTTAGTTGAAAAAAAGCAAAGAGTCAAAGGGGCTTCCTTGATTATAAGTTATCTTCTCCATGACTCTATATGATCTTCTAATCAGATGTTCTTTTAAGAGATAGTGAAAAAAATAAGTACAGTACACTTTTAAAACAAATAATTATGTGCAATTAAAATACTTTATGAAACACCCTATATAAAAATGAAAGAATTATTATATTTCTAATCCCAACATTGCAATAAAAAAGAAAAAAAATCAACACATTGAATATTTATATTGTAGAAATATATCTCTGTGTTTTGAAACTTCATAAGACCTACTTTCAAACACTTTATTTTTCTAAATGAAAACTATTGTGTAACAAAATTTAGAATTTACTAAAGAAATTGATTGAAATCAGTGTTCCTTCCTCAATAGTTTTAGTTTTTACCAAAATGTAAGGAAAATATATGAACAAATTTGATTAAAGCTTTAATATTCATGTTAAGAGTAAATTTAGATTAAAAAAAACTGATTTTTAATTTAAATATGTTACCCATTTAATACAGACTTCTAAGCTTCATTTTATTCCATTATTCAACTTAGTAAATTTTGAGCAATTAAACATAGAATTCCTGTTGTATGAAAGAATAGGCATACATTTATATAAAGCAGAAAAATGTATGCGATTCCAATATCCACAATTTCCTTTTAGTTATTAATTCATTATTAATCAAAAAGTTTCAAAAATTAGAACTGATACAACATCACATGAAATAAATGCTATAATGAATTATAAATGGTAAGAAAGAAAATAAAGAAAAGCTTCAATGCAATCAGGATAGAAACTTTTTTGGCTATTTAAAAATTAGCAATTTTTAAAGTTCACTGACTAATAAAATTTACAAAATTTCATATATTTAAAAAAATAATATTAGGTAGTATGTAAGAAATTTGCATCCAAACTGTGTGTGTTTTAATAAGTTAATGTTTCTTTAAATATAATTAGTTTAAATTTTTGATTAAACTAAGAATTGTTCTAGTTAATAATTTCAAAAGAAAAACATGTTTAATTGTGTTAGTTACTAATATTATGAGGTACTTTTGAATTTTTCTGTGATGTAGTTAAAATGAAACAGAAAGCTGAAAGCTTTAAATAAATGGATTGTGTTAAATAATGTCTTCTAGACAAGTTTGTCGATTTTAAAAGTAGATATTTAGTTTGATAATTTTTGTTCTGTTTTCCCTGATTTATATTTACCATAGCTAAAAAGTACCTCCTTAGCTGCTGCAGAAGAATCGGCAGTGAGACCGCTGGAACCTTTTTGGCCCCGTCAACAAAAACTGACTGTGTTCTCCAGTTAAGAAACAATAAAATAAAGCTATATTATGTTTCTTTACTTAAACAAAATTATATAATACAGTAACAAGATTGATGAACCCTGGAAATCACAGTCAGTTTCTCTCTCCAAAGGTAGGAAAAAATCTGCTGAAAAGCAAAAACCAAATCATTGATTTCAACAGAATGCTTTTGAACCATGGCATGGTAAATTTTTGTTTCGATATAAAAATAATTTCATGAGACAATGTATAAAAAGTACAGTAGAAGTCTCCATAAACCTATTTCATTAGTAAACTATATATTCACTGAAAATTAACTCTTAACAAAGAAAAGAAAATTAATAAATAAATGAAAAAATAATAAAAAAAGAAAATTGAAAATTACTTAAAATTTTTATAGAAACTAGACAACTGTAACAGCTCTCACAATCTCTTGATGATTCCGTAAACAACTTTAAATTTTTATAGAAAAAAATTAGACTGCTTGTAATAAGCAAAACAACTATTGACTATTTATCATAGTGAAAAAAAAACATTTTTTAGTTCAAAAGTTTAGAATGAATATTTATGCCCTCATTAGTACTCTACATATTTTCGATATAATTACTAACCTCTACTGTTTTAACTTAGTGATTAGAAATCAGCAGATAAAAAATTTTAACTGATTTATATTACAGATAAGGAAAATCTGGTTATGAAGTTATTCAATGACAACTTTCTTAAAATTATCATTTTGAAGTCGAAAAAGAAAATAGCTGTATTTCCGTAAAAACACATTTCTCAGACAGCCATATTATTTAAAAAGTCAAGTACTCACATAACAGCTGTCAACTAAGAGGGTAAAAGTTCAACAATTGCATGACATCACAGGGGTTCAATTTTTGAGGGGGATGAAATTAAATTTCAACTAACAGTCAATTAAATAACAGTCAACTAATTTCAATTATCAGTCATAATAGTTCCGTAATTCACTCAAACAGAAAAAAAAATCTTAAATAATTGCAAAAAGATTAATAACTTTTTCTCTCTTTCTTGTTCTTAACTTTAAGGAATTTAAATCCATGCTAATTCACGAAAATTTTCTTTATTGGTCTGAAATATTGAGATTTTTAGAGAACTCTAATTAGCGAGGGGAACATATACCCTACCTCCAACCAATGACAACAATGGATCTGAGTGAACTTCAAGGTGTTACCTGGGGTGGAACCCCAGCCTTTCACAATAACTTGTGACATAGTTTAAAGAGGAAAAAAAAATCAGAATTCTGATTATATACTTCCTAGTAGAATAAACAAGGTTTCTTCATCTCGTTTTATATATAAAAAAAGGTGATTAAAGAAGAAATTGTCTACTTGCACTAGTATCATAATGATAAGGTTGAACAATTAAAAAGCAGGAAAATAATCTTTTAAAACTTGAACTTTTGGTAAGAAAATATGTAAACAAAAAGATAGTTCAAAACTTTCAGAAAAAAAATTCTGAAGATACATCAATAATTTTAGTACTTTAATTTATTTATTAATTTTTTTAATTTTCAAACTGGATTCTAGAATGAACATAATAGCTAATTAATCATTAATAAATACTTATTTAAATTTAGATAAGTGATAAAATCGTTTTAATGAAATTTTATAATTTCTTTCACACTAAAAATTCATTTTTCAAAAATAATATTACTTATATAGGTACCCACAACTGACTGAAGAAATCTCATTTTAAAATTGGAGACATTAAAAGACACTGCTATTGTATCTATCAGCTTATCTCTTTAAAACTTTTTATATCAACTTTTTCATGTTAACAAAAGCGGCTCATTTTCTCACTTATCAGATTTTCTCAGAAATCAAAGGTATGTAAAATACCAAAATTAATATTTTCTTCAGTTAAGAAACACAGTTTTTTTTTATAGATATTACTCATTTTCAATGTATACAAAGAGTTTACTTAAAATCTGAATTTTAATATCAGATTGAATGTAATAAAGTATCTACTAGAGATGCAAATAATAAAGAACAGGACAAAAAATTTTCAGTGAATATATAGTAAGTAAATAAAGTAAATACTTTACCGCAATGACAAAATTAATATTTCAGAATTAATTTTTTTAAGTGTTCTTATATATTAGTTTAAAATTGTAAAATGATCCTTGAATGTTTCCTCATAAAAGTAAAAGGAAACAATAATCAGAAACAGTTAACTTGTATACAAGTAAATCAATTCATTTTTTCTCAAAAGAAAAAAAAATGAATTGAAATCACTTAATAAATAAAAATAATCAAACTCAAAGAACTATACATTTAAGCAAAAACATGTTGCAGCAAAAATAGGTCATCTGTCAGCTAGAAATAAATCAAAAAGATTAAAAAATTGTTAAATCAGAGACTGTTTTTATCATATTTAGTAAAAGATTTTGGAGAAATAGAAAACTGATACATAAAAAATGGAATTTTATAACAAATATTTTCCAAAAACTTTAATTAGAAAAATAAATACATTTTAAAAAAATTTATAAACATTTATTTATGCAGGTGTCTATTTTAAAAGCACAAGGCATGTTTTCAAAAAATTCTATTATGAAAATAATTCCAATTTTAAATTTTATTCTTTGTAGAATCATTGACTTTTAATCATACACCAAAATATGGCAAAAGAGGTGAATAAGGATTTATATCTGGCTTTTGTAACATAAGTGAATTACTAAGAAACAGATACTTCTCATTGTATTTTGAGAAATTCTTTCAACTTATATAGGATTTATTTCTATGAGACAGATAAGGACCTATACTGAAACAAATTAAAACTTGGATAGAAATATTTCTTTACCTGGCTATCCAAACCAATGGAAAAAAGCATAATGAAAAAAAGAAATGCCCACAAGGGCGAAAGAGGCAATCTGGATACAGCCTCTGGATATACAACAAATGCAAGACCTGGTCCTAAAAATAAAAGTCACTGCTGTTAAGTAGTAAAGATAAAATAGTATTTCATTTTCACTATTAAGATTTTAATATTCTTAAGCAATAAAAAGCTAACTTTTTAATACATTTTTCAGTCTAAAACAAAATTTATAATTTAAGTATTTTTAATTTCGGGCATATATATATATATATATATGTTTGAGATATAGCATATTCTATTTTTTTACTCTCATAAATATTTAACCACAAAGAAAAAAGCCTAACCTCAATATTTCCAGCTGATAAGTGATTCAGCTGATGAAGTCACAGTTAAAAATGCATGTGTCATTTAACGTTTACATCATTATTTTCTTTAAATACTTGAGCATATTTGTTTTCATAAAAGAAAAAGGCTTAACACATAAATGAAGCTAATATTACTAATATTAAATGATAAAAATCTTTTTTTTTATTTAAAAAAAAAAGATGCATAAGTTAATAAAAAAATGTTGGTAGTTACTTCTAGACAACTTTTTAATGACATATTTTTAGTTACCCATTATAAAGTTCAAAAACAAAATTTGTTAAAGAAAAGTATATTTATTCAAAGAAAAATATTTTTGCATCTTCTTGCACAGATAAAAAATCTGAACTAATTATATAACATATTTAATGTGTGCCCACTTAACTGTGAGGGTCAAACTTTATGTATTGCAATAATGGAAAAAAATTATCTCTATGAAAAAAAGAGAAAATAAACTTATCTCTGAATGTAATGAATATTTGCTACTAATAACTAACACTTTAATTAAGAATGTTACAGCTTCAGAATTTCAGATTTAAATCACGAGTTTTGTAAAACATAGCATATTTCAGTGAATAATTCAGTCTCTCTTCAAGAGAGTTGCTATTAACAAGTTATTCAAATTCAACATAAACACCTCAAGAGGATGGGGGTTTATGATTTGTTTACTTTTGCTAAGGGAAATGGGAAGTTAAAAATAGCTAAAAACATGCTTTTACTATATTTGAACAGCCATTTATAAAGATGATTAAGTTAATATTTTGGAAAAAAGACTTATACTTAAAAAGACAAGTAATGTAGGGCTTAAAACGTTAAAATTGCATCTTTTAGTACATAAAAATCAAATAATTAAAAAAAAATTATTCAAGGCAATTTTTGGCTCACTTCGTACTTAATACTGCTTTACAGAACTTAATAATAAAACGTCATTAAAAAAAGTTTTTTTTTAAAGCATTCTTATTCAATAAGTAGTTACACTAGAAACTTTTTAAATATAGTTTCTGAAATTTTTATTTAAAGAATACTTATGTCTCAACCAATACTGAGTAAACAGTTTTCTTTACTTTGTTAGAGAAGATAATAATTTAAAAATAAATTATTAAGTAGGAAATTTACATTCTGAAATAAAAAATTTGAAGTTTTGGCAGTTATTTAATACCTTGTGAAACAACTTCTTCAATTGATTTGCCAGTTTCATATGCCATGAATCCAATTATTGAAAATACAACAAATCCAGCAAAAATACTTGTACCACAGTTTATAATTGGAATAAGTATAGAATCTCTGGAAATTAAAAACAATAAAATATAAGAATATTTAAATTACATAAGATACAACTATTTTTCAAGTAGAAGTAAGTATCAATAAATACTCACCTATAAACATTATTTGAAAATTTATTGTAGCTTGACATAGTAATCACAGCACCCCATGCACCTCCAACAGAGTAGAATATTTGAGTTGCTGCATCACCCCATACCTGAAATAAAGTTTGAACTATCAATTAAAGGTCATCTAAATAGTATAAAAGGATTCATGCACAAAATTTTTTGGGCTAATATAGTGATAGTGTATATTATTTAAAATTTATCTATGAGAATCCTACACACATAAAATTACGCATTTTTAAGGTACACATTAATGTAAAATTTAGGTCCTATTAACACATGCATGCTATTTTTATAAATATTTTTTAAGCTTGGAATATCAGGGTCTATTATGTCTTAACTTCTGAAAAATCCATTAACATATCTTAAAAATGATGAAGTGTATTAGTGAACAATTTTAAAATTTAATATCAAACAATATAACACTTAAAAGGAAATTAAGGTACTGTAGCAAAATTAATTCATTCCAAAGAACTTCCAAGAACAGCACTCTCATAAATTTACTTTTACATGTGAATATCTTAAAATCATGTATTCAAAATTTGCCAAGACAAGATATAACATACTAGGGAAAAAGTTTATATGAAATTACACTAAGTTGTTGAATTTTAAAAACTATAACACTGGTAAATAAAACAAAAAATAATAAATAAGTAAAGCAATTTTTTCCCAACAGCACAATCTATAGTTGAAAATAATAAGCATATTCTAGCCCCTCCAATAAAAAATATTGCACTTTATACATAAAAATAAATTTATTAGATCAAGCAAAACTTAAGTTGTTTTGAGTTTTGCCAACTAACTTAAAAATGGATAAGTTATTTAAAAAAAAAATAAAGGCATTTAAATTGCACTTTAAGGTTTTGTATGCAAATTGCCTTACTTAATTTACTTTACTCAATGATAATTTCTGTTTGTAATTTGCCTCTTCATCCTAAGAATAGCTCATTGAAAGCACACATTTTTAAATAAACACAAAGGCTGTATTTACTTTCAGTGGACAGCACGTAGAATACTTATTTTTAGTTTGTAAGAATAAAAATGTATCAAATTTAATCAAAGTTATCAAATCAAGTAAAAATTATCAAAACTTGCTGAGACACTATTTTATAACATTATCATAAACTTACAAAGGAAGTCTAATTATTAAATTTTTAAACAATGAAAGTCATCTAAGATTCTTGATTTTATTTATCCACTTTGTGGCAATATACCAAGTGTATAAATGAAACATTAACTTAAGTTTTTTAATTACTATATTTATTTCACTTTCTCTTTCACTATATGAAAATATTTATGCTATAAAGTAACTATTCATGAAGTATAAAAATTTAAAATATTAACTTACAGATAGAAATTTGAATAATCAGCAACACAAAATTATTACTATAGTAAGGAGTTTAAGTAATTTTACAGAGTGATAAGCTTAATTTTTTGACTGGTGAAATTACACTAAATGTAAATAATTGAACAACTTGGCAAGTTGCAGTTCTGAAATTTTTTTTGTAGAAAAAATATGGAAAGATAATATTTTTATGGAACAAGGCCTCTTTTTTTGGTTCTCTAAAATTTCTTCCTAACAAAGTACAAACATTAAAATTTTTGAAATAGTATGAGTGTTGACCCATGTCTTTTTATCATTGCTCCCATACACATACAATAGTCGGGTAAAATTACAGGAAATGTTTAGAAGACAAATTTGGTATATTTATAAGGTATTCTCTCAAAACAAATCTTTCCCTCGTGAAATTCATATTTTTTTAAAATTATATCTATTAAAATTTTTAAATTAAAAAATTAATAATTAGAAATTGTGAATTCTGTGAATGAAAGATTTGTTTTGAAAGAAATTCACAATTTCTACAAATTTTCACCCAAACTATTTAGAAATTTTAAAACCATTGCATGTAATGTTAATTCAGTTTGCATTTAATTTAGGAGTTTTCTTTTTATCTGTAATTTTTATTAATTAAATGAAAAACTTTTAACTTTCAAGGCATTCTTTATTCAATACTAAACTAAACTCAGTGGCGCGACAGTCCATAGAGGGTCAAGGCCTACTGTGCCCATCTCAGTTTTCTTGACCTTGGGCTCTGGGGTGCAGAAGCAGATGTTCCGGTTAGGTGGTCAGTCGAATGCGAAACTCCCAGTGTTTAGTTCCCAAGCATGCTTGGTACTCATTTATTGACCCACTGAAGGGATGAAAGGCTGAGTCAACCTTGCCCCGGCCAGAGGATCAAACCAGGGACCTGTGGCATGACAGAGCGAAGCGCTACCGCTCAGCCACCGGGCGTCATTCTTTATTCAATATACCACTATTTTATATAATTTTAAAAAAAAACCGAATGTAATGCAGGTTGTAAAATGTTTAAGTAAATTGGATAAAGATTAAGAAGTTACAGAGTTATCGGACTGTTTTGTAATCAGTCTGTGTTATGCTAAGTGGTTAGTGATTACAGGAGTAAGGCTTGCTATGATCACTTTGTTTAGGGACACATTTTGCAAGCTTTATTAAAAAGACAAATACTTATTTTTCAATTTAATGTTTAATAATATTTAGGAACAATATTAAATAAGTCATATAATTTAATCATCACATTCTTGCTTTTTCCATGTATTCTAAATAAAAATAATTATTATTCATTATTTAAATCTTTTAAATAAAGCATAATCATATTAAATATTAGAGCAAAAATAAAATAAAAACTCAAATTGAAAAACAATTATAGTACAGGGGAAGTTTTTTGGCACAAATTTTTTAGATCAAAAGATATTTATATCATTTCATAGATATCTGACCATTACAAGTCTCTGTTTCAAAAAAAATTTCAATAGATGTTACAATTATGAATACATATAAAGTAGTCATACTTTAAATGATAATAAAAGCTCCCAACGTGGTGATAGATAAAAAAGAATTCCATTCATTGCTCCAGGTAATGTAATACCTCTGATTAGCAAACACACAAGAACTACATATGGAAAAGTTGCAGTAACATAAACGACCTAAATAAAAGAACGTTCTTCAGAAATGAATATTATACATGCATAAAAATAAATAATTGAGTAACTAAAATAGGAATAATAATACTAATAGAAGATTTAATAAAAGGTTTTAAATTTTGTCATTTCAGTCTCAATTAAAGCTAAAATTTTATTTTATAATAACTCTCTTACAGTAATTATTTTTATATTGTACAAAAGCTACAATAATGGACTACAGGATACAACCCCATTAAATGTTAGGAAGTTTCCTATGAGAACAAAGTGTTTTTAATGGGACAAACCAAATCAGGGTAACCATCACATCACGTTAAATATTTTTCTTCAGTTGACCTTCACATTTTATCTATTGTTTTCATCATTTTGTGAAGCAGATTATAGTCATAGAAGTTATACTTTAAAAGTCAGCATCATAGAATTTTAATAACGTAATTTTAATATAAATATTTTGTATTTATAATATGTAAGCTTAACCAAAATATTTGCTGATAGAATGCGGGAGTGATCTAAAAACATTTAAGTTCTAAATCCATCATTACAAAGGTGGCAGATAAACTGAAAATATAAACTAATTTTAATTAAAAAATGGTCTACTTATTTTTAGTAAGCAATCTATGTTAAAAGCATTTTAAAATGGTATTTTTTTAAAATTTTAATCAAATTCTTCCCCACAGACTTTCCAAATGATAGCAATTGATCTTTTAATTTATGATGATTAATCTCACATTTACAACTTGTTTAAAACTTTAACAATATTATACTCAGTGCATTAAAATCAGACAAGCAGATTGAAGATTACTTTTTTTTTGTTTTAGTCTAGAGACTATGCTTACAAAATATATAAATATTACAGAAAGTTAGTGATTTTTTTTTGATGCTCTCTACTGATTGTTTGAGCATTTTGAAGATCCATTGTCAAGAAAGTTTAGCCTCATGTGACCCAATAAAGAAAGAATTACACTATTTGTACTAACAATAATGACAATGCTTGTAAATAGTACATTCTAAGAGCTTAGATAAGGATCCTTCAAATTGTGCTAGAAGTTTTGACAGAAAGAGTTCAATGATATAAAAACAAGAATCAGCCAAACTATGAAAAAACTTAATGATATCAAATACTCTAGATAAACTGAGCAAACAGTTTTAAACTATACCTAACATAATGAAAAACTGAACACAAAGAAATATCACAAGCATCTCTTGATGCAGAGTGACTGATAATTGAGTGAGATTCAATTAAGAGTGACTGAACTGACAAGGATTGAAATTTGTTAGACTGTACCAAACTTCAATAGTCAAAGAAGCAGGTTAAACATTTAATATCTGCAGGATAAAATGAAAGTTTTTACGCAGCCTTCAAAAGTTACAGAATTAACGTATTTAAATGAATGTATTTAACATGATTTTTTATTATTATAACCTTTGGAAACTAAGAAGAGAGTTCTAATTATTTATTTATAGGAATATAAATAATTATAGATTACCTTTCCAGACGACTTAACTCCTTTCAAAAGACACAAAAACACCACAAGCCATGCTATGAATAATGTCAAAACAAGAGGCCAAAGTATTCCTCCCAAGTCATCAATACCTGAACTTTGTTGAAGCACATTAAATCTGCAATGAAAAATAGTAATATCATTAGCTTTTTTTACTGCTAATAGAATAGTTCTGAGCAAAAAAGTAAGAAATAAATTAATGGATGTAATTTATAAGAATCAGTTAAGTTTCAGTTAATTAATGCTAGGAGTACGGTAAAGTCTCCCAATAATCTCCTTTTCCTGAATATAGTTGCTTTTTTAGCCTTTTCAGCCAAAAAATTTGCCATCGCCTCAGGCTGAAAATAGTTGCCTTTTAGTTGCATGTGGCAACTAAAAGGCTACTATTTGCTGCAGACGTTTCCATACCCGTAAACTGAAACATACATTTTTAGTTATAAGGAAATTTGAAAAAAATAAAAAAATTAATAAAAACTAAATCTACTTACAACCAAAATTCTTCACTAGATGTAGTTTTTGTAGAATTTGTAGTTATTGAACTAAGTGTTATGGGTTCATAATTTAATGTTGAGTTGCTATCAATGACAGTATTATTTTTATAGCGTGCTGTGCCTTCCACACAGTTAGGAGTATTCCACCAATTACCACAAGTTGACCATTGTACACTATAGGAGTGATACATGTAATACAATGTCCAAGCAATTATGACATTATAGTAAATGCAAACAATTCCAGAAATAAGCACCATCCCATAACCTAGACCTTAAAAAAAAAAAAAAAAAAGATTATTACACACATTTTTTTAACATAGAACTTATTACACATTAGTTTGTGTCATTATATTCCAACCTTGAAATAATGGTGAAATTTTCCATACAGCTAAAGGTCCAAGGCTGCAAAATTGGCCAAAACTCATTTCTAAGAAGAATAATGGCATACCACAGATAATCAGGAAAATAATGTAAGGGACTAGAAAAGCTCCTGTAAAAAAAGATAACATGAATTTATATGAACTGAATTACTTTCTGAATGGAAACCTTCATTACAAGAAAGAAACAAATATATCATAATCAAAAGTTATATTGTTAATTGAAGATGCTCTGACACTCTGTCAGCTATAAAGACAGTTTCTAAAAAAAAAAAAAAAAAACATTGACACTTTACTATAAAAAAAAACTAACTTTGAAAGTGGCATAGATAATGAATTTTTAGCCTCATTTAGATATGTTAAGGTCACTTAAAAAAATAGTCTACCTTCTTTAAAAAATAAAAAAATTAACAATTGACAACCATTAACATTAAATTATTGGTAGATAGTTATACACCATTATGCCATAGATAAAGAGAATTTTGGGGACTGGGAGCCACACAACCTTTCAATGAAAAACTTTTTTTTATTCCTATAAAGAAAAATTAAGGTAGTTTTTCAAATAAATATCAATTGAAATAAAATTGATTTGAAATGTTGTATGAGTTAAATTTACTTGGAAAATTTCAACAGCGAAGAAGGCACAATTGCCTGGGATGGGAAGGAAATTACAGTTACATCAAGGACACTTTTAAAGAGTTTACAATTTCGTAGAGAAGAAAAATTCAAAAAGGTGTTAATTTCAAAGAGGAAGCATTCATTTAAAAATAAGAAAAAATGCAGACAAATTCTAAAAAAAGAATGGGGTCAGAAAGAGCAGATATTGTTTTTTCAAAATTGACAATTGTTTTAAAACCCTAGTATGCATAGTTCTTTAATGATTTTAAAAATGTACACCAAGGGCAGTTGCATAATACCCAGGATATCTATTGGTTTGGGAATTACAAGAAATAAGTATTAAAGATAATTAGACATTAAGAATTGTGGTTGCAACCGTTTTCAGTGATCACAAGGCAGGTCATTAAAGAAAATACATATTTTCTACATAAAACTGAACAAAAAAGGACTATGTGTTTAGCAAAAAAGCAGAATAGTATATGCCAAAATCATATGTTTTAATGTTCTTTTCAATTTCTTAATTCCATTAAAAAGTATTGTGTTTATGAAAATACTTTACATATAGTGTTTTTTGGACTTTCCAAACTTTACGGTTTATGATTTGCTTATTTTTGCAAATTTGGTTAGCATAAATAAGCAAATTATAAACCTCTTCCCATGCTTAAGTAAGAAAGTTGCAACTTGGTTTTCGCCTTAACTTTGGCTCTCAATTAAGTGAAAAAATTCTCGGATTAAATTTAAATAAAAGATGTAACTTTGCATAAAACAAAATTTATTTTTAAATTCATTTTATAAAATTTTAAGTAGAATATTCTTTAAGTATATTTTGTGCTTCTATTCCTTGTTCAAAACTGTTGATCTTTAAAACTCTTTGAAGAAATTTTTTTTAAACTTTTTCTTCAAATTTAATTTTTAGTCTAACTTTGAATAAAAAAAATTCATGCAATTTTATTGTTAATTATGTTCAAATAAAATTTTGAAAATAAGGGGATTTTATAGTTTAACAAAAGCATTGCAACTATTTCCCCTTTGTTAGCAAACAAAAAAAGTAATGCCACCTCCCATTAGATGCTTAGGTAATATTTCAACACCGCCTATGGCACATTTTTATACACACATGTGAATTTTTTTAGACATACTTCCCGTTTTTGATAATGAACTTTCCATGAGGTTGTATGATTTTCATTTTCTTTTACTCCAGAAAAGTATTTAGAACTTACCACCACCACTTTGGTAGCACAAATACGGAAACCTCCATATATTTCCAAGTCCAACTGCATACCCAACACATGATAGGAAAAAGTCCAGCTGTCTTCCCCATGTTCCGCGGTTGTTTTCAAGATCACTTACGGTACTAACAGTAGATGAAGTATCTTCTGGTAAAGGTAAAGGTACACTAACACTTGGCAGTTGAGAAGTTTTTGAAGAAATACAACCTTTTAAAGAATTGGATAAAAGAGTTCTTTTGACATCTTTCTCTTCTGCCTCAGGAGTTTTCTGGAAGAAAAAAAATTATGGTTGAAAAGAAGCATGTCAGTTTAATGATGAAAAAAAAAATGATAATGATAATAAATAAAATAAAATAAAATGAAAGATTTTTAATTTTGACAGATTTGTGATTTTTGAACCATTTTTACAGCTCAACATAAATATAATGCATTAATTATGGTAACTAAGTAGTAAAACCTTTGATTTACATTCAAAAGTAAATTTAAAACAGTATGTATAAGATAAACTGTGCTGCATATTACATAAAACAAAATTTTCCCAACTTAATATGTTAGAAATATTTTCAATGAACATTTGGTTTAATTGCAGTTAAATAAGAAAAAAGAAGGTGGGCCCTAAGCAATGAAGCTGTACCTAACACATTAAAAATATATTGCAAAGGTATTATTTAAAAATACTAAATTCTATGTACACACATTTACTAAAGACAAATAGAAAATTAATTTGGATGCTTAAAAATATTATTTAGAATTTTATTTCAGAAATTAAAATTACACAAAGAAATAAAAATTAAATAATGCATTTTTTTTTTTAAATGATCCATGTATTATATTAAAAATATATAAATAATATTTTTTGAAATTTGGATTAATTTTAACTTGAATTTTTTAAATTTTTTTTTTACTGTCTTAAATAAAATGAACTATGGCACTATTGCTGAGAAGCATGGGTATTGCAGGCACAGGACTGGTGGGTATACGTTGGCTTCAATAATTAGAAATCTCAATTTCTTTTTTGTTCCAAATGTGAAATTTTAAGAACATTTAGAATTATGCATTTTAATCTTTTGCACTCAGTATATTAAAATGTTATTTAAACTAATGTAAGCACAAAAATGCATAACACAATATTTTTATATAATGACTAACAAATGATAATATAGTTAAGATATAAAAATTTTAAATGTCAGAGTGGAGATATTTGATGTCCTATAAGAAAGGACATTATAGTGCAAAGAGTAAATCTTGTATCCCTCAAAATTTAGGCATCTGAGAAAAGATCCATGCTGAATAGTATAACTGGACCAGAAATTTGTTCCAAAGATAAAACAGCAAAAAGGAATTTTATTTTGAAATCATGATTTTAAAGCTTTCAATTATTTTTAATTGTCCCTTACATAATTAAAAGAATATATGTAAGAATGAAGTTAATTTTTTCTAACATTTGAACATCAAGAAATATTAAAAAATCCTCATTGTTCAAAATATAGTAAAAATATCATAGACTAAATATTTTTAGTTCATTCCTCGAACTGTTACAAGAGATTTTAGAAATGTATCATTCATATTCTTACCTTTTTTCACTGAATTCTACAAATAGGCTTCATTAGAAAATTGTAGTTTTTTTTTTAAATTGAAAAATATTTCAAGAAAATCATGAACAGAAAAACTTTTATAGGTTCCCATTTATTTCTAACAATTATAATTCAATAGAAGTGTGTTTGCAGTGTTTATATTTTGCAGGAAAGTTTATTTAGTTTTTTCTGTATATTTTTTTTTATTTATTGAAACCTCAGTTTTTTGCTTCTTTTTATAAGTCTGTCTCAAAAATTTATCCTTCTTAATCAATTTAAATCCTAGAGTATGTTTATTTAGAATGCTTTTCTCTATAACTCTGTCAAATTTCAAAACTTAAAGATTATTATTTTTTCTAATTATGGTTTCTTGGCTGGACAATTAGCACAGTTTTGGCTTTTAAAACAGATAATCCAATATAAAAAAATCTCTTGCGAGACTTAATTAACGCATTATAAAGAGAAAAAAAAATTAAAATTCAAATTTTTAATAACAATAGTAGTTTAAATTAATAATTTCTTTGCAAATTCGTGTTTTATGCGTAAATAAAAATATTCAAAAAAAAAATATACTCACTAAGTTGTGTCTTGCGTATTTTTAATCAGATTATGATAAATAATTAAATATAACCTAAATATTTGTGAGTGAGCAAACATCTGTAACATTTGAAAGATACATGGCGCTAGGTATCTTTAAAATGTAAAATTAAAATACGGAGCATAATAGTTAAGAAAAAGTTCGATAGATGGCATTTCAATACTTGGCTCTATGGAAAAATTTTGGAAAAGAGGAGGAGATACGAGACTGCTTTTTATCTACGCTTTAAACCTTCCAAAAATGAACTGATTGTACTCATCTCGCCATCTAGTGACGCTTTAAAAAGTAAAATTTTTTCATCTCAATTTCCCCCATTCCTTGAAAGTCGTATAGAGCGGATTTACTAGGTAATTTGGAGAAAAAATATTGTTACTTTTATTTGGTCAGAGGCTTCCTTTTATTTATTATTATTATTACCTTTATGAATTATAAATGAAGAGAAAACTAATATGTAATAGTCAAATATAGAATTTTTAATTTTAAAGAATTAAAATAATTAAATGAAAAAGGCTGGCTTTTTAACCGAAATTTTTCTCATGATTAATTGAAATTTATTATTTGTATTTTAATAAAAGCAACGGACAGTATAACAGTAAATTTTTAAATCTAAAATACTAAATTTATTAAAAATTTTCGGTCGTTTTTAATTTAATTTTGTACATTTACAAATTTAAAATAGATTAGGCTAAGAAAAGGACAGAAAGACTTTCTTCTTCTTAACAAAGTGGAAAAAAAATGCAAACAGATTATTTATTTAGAATTAGATCAAAATTAAATATATATATATATTCAAACAGGTATTAAAATCTACTACTGAATAAGTTTATATTAAAAAATAATTTGATTTTTTAAAAAAAAAAATATTTGTAACTTTGCAAAGATAAAAAAAATCGTGTTTCAATTCATTTTATAGAATATTGATTAGAATATTCTTTAAGAATTGTTTCTGTTTTTCTTCAGAGGTTAAAACTGTTAAACTCTGAAACTTCTCACAGAAATTTTTGTCCTTCTTAAATTGAAAGTTTTTCTACGCGATCCCCCCCCCCTAAATTTTTTGAAATATATTTGCATTTTAGGAAAAATTTTGAAAATAATGTTTAAAAAAATATCTTTCTTAAAAATTGCTCATACCATTCAACCCCTTCCCTTGTCTGCAAAAATAATCAAATCACAGACACCCTTCCCTACTGTTTGGTGCTTACGTATTATTTGATCGGTCCAATAAAGTTAAATGTATATATATTCAAATACGTAAATGTAGAATTCCAAATAAATGCTCGCGTGACACCAATTGGGAAACCTCCTGGCGAGTTGTTTTGAATTTAATTTACTTCGTTGAGTAGACACGTGTCGATCAATGGCACAATGGATTCTGGATCTATTTCGGTTACTAATTTATGTTTAATGTATTATTATCTCTTTCTCAATCCATCAATCATAAAATTTTCCAGTATTACGACGAAATTTTATGTAATTCTTACTACATTCCAATTCAAACTGAAAGTATTAAACATATAGTTTAATAATAATAGTTATTTTAATTTAAAATTATTTTAAATGTTACATATTATTGATTACACTTAAGAAAACCATGCATAACGAATACACTTTTCTTAATTATGAATATATTTTTTAATTCTGATTAAGAGTTGAACTTGAATGGCTTGGCAAAAACGATAATTTCGAAATAAAAACAGCAACAAATGCTGGATGAATTTCAGTTTTATCTTTTCTTCCGACCTTATTTGAAAAGTAAAATCATAGATATTTATGTAGAATAGAGGTAGATGTGTATAAATTAGGGGAAAAAAAAATCGCTTTGATAAGTTCCTTTTTTCAGAATCTAGATGGCAGCACTACAACATTTTAAGAGGTGAAAATAAAATTTAAGACGCCGCAAACATTAAAAATTGCATTTGGTCACTCTTATTTTTCCTTAAAATGTGGTACGTGGTCGTCTACACACATACAAAATACAGCGAGAAAGAGAGATAGAGTAAATTGTAATTTACATTAATATTTGATACATTTCCAAAATGACATTTAACTAAGTTTGATAAAACAAATATATTAAATTTCATAGCACTACCCATAATAATTCCAAATCTCTCTCTCTCTCTGTATATATATAAATATATATAGATATACTTAAAACTAATAATTTGTAGTAATAATTCTTAATTTTAAATAATATTTACTGTATTACATAAAATTAAATTTGAGTAAACTTTCATCGAAATTTTATTCAAATTTAATTAATTATGCCTGAAAAAAAATATTTACAAACTATATTGTAAACAAAAAGTAAAACTTATTTAAAATAAATATGTGTTTTTCAAACATATTTATCATAAAGGGAAATAAATCACGATTTATTATTTTCTAATGGTAAAAATATGCCGATTCACGACAAAATGACGTTCTAGTGAAAGATTCGAGGCGGATTAACGTTTTAGTTTAAAATCCTCAGTTAAAAGAGAGTAGATAAAAATTTTAAATCCTTAGATCTGCTTAATATTGGTTAGATGTCTCTGACGTACTAGCATTATATAACTTATTCAAAAATATTATTACGCCTTTCAAAAGGAAGTTTTTTTCTGATTTTTTCCTTAAGCAACTATTTAAATAAATTTTTTGTTCACTGATTGAATTTAATTGTTCATAAAATAAAAATGCAATTTCGACTGTTTCTTTTCTTCCGGGGGGGGGGGGGGGGNAGGGATGGGGGGAGAAAGCAATATTTTGGGACGAAATGTTTTCAACTTTAAATTCCGCCTATGTTTTAACATAGGTTCACACCACAATGTCCCTTTTTAAAATCAGCCAAAGTATTCCATGTGGTAAACTGTAAGTAAAAAAATACTAAAACAATATTCTAAAGAATATTGTTTTAGTAAACAGTTAAATTTTTAATATTTTTACACATAAATAATGTACTTCAATAAATTTTTTTAGCACTTTATTTAAAAAAGGGGAAAAAACTAAAAATTGTCGGAGGTATTTTTCCAACTACAAACTACATAGCCCTATTTTGTATAAACTTATAACTTCTTGGCTATAAATATTCATAATTAGTATCTATGAATGAAAATATGA